CGCAAGGTGAGGGGACATGAGGTCAGGATGTCTGCAAAGGGCTACTGATTCAGACTGTTGGTCTGTCAAGGGCAGTATTATCAGCAGCTCTCCAGGGTCTTTCACATCGACTGCTACCTGACCTTTATTAACTGGAGATGCTGGGGACTGAACCTGGGACTTTCTGCATGCAAAGCAGATGCTCTACCACTGAGCCATGGGCCCTCCCCTAAATGTGACGGGTATGCGAGAAGGTTATCCAGCTCAGCGGGTCCTTTCCAATCTGCCAGAGGCCAATAACCAACCCCCTCGACCTCTACAAAGACTGTCTCTGCTGTAAGAAACATATATGGACCTTGCTGTCAGAGTGTAAGGGGAATGTGGCCAATGAGGATTTGCAAGAATTAACACGGGTAGCAGAGACATACATATATAGCTGCGCATAATTTTATTTTTAACTACCTCCCACACGGAAGATCACACCAAATGGCTAGTTTTAAAAATAAGGTACTGAGGATGAATCATCCCTGAATAAATGTTCGTTAAAGAAGAAGAAGAGATTGGATTTATACCCTGCCCTTCACTACCCGAAGGAGTCTCAGAGTGGCTTACAATCTCCTTTCCCTTCCCATCCCCACAACAGATATCTGTGAGGTAGGTGGGGCTGAGAGAACTGCTCTGAGAGAACAGCTATGAAAGAACTTGTAATTGGCCCAAGGTCACACCAGTAGCTGCATGTGGAGGAGTGGGGAAACAAACCAGTTCTCCCTGATTAGAGTCTGCGCTCCTAACCACTACCCTAAACTAGCTCTCTACTTGTAGGCATCCAGCCATTTACTAACTTGGTTTCTTCACATTCCTTGCATTCTGTCCTGCTTCGGCATGGCAGAGTATTGAACTCAGTCCACAGAAAGCTGGGTTCAAATCTCTACTCTGCTAGGAAGCTTACTGGATAGCCCTGCATCCAGTTCCCCCCTCATTTTTTCAGCTTGATTTACCTTGCAGAGATCTCATGAGGATAGAACTGAAGTATGGAGCCATATACATAACTCTACGCTCCCTAGAGGAAAGGTGAGATTTTTTTTAAAAAAACCAAATATTCTTTTTTTAAAAAATCAAATATTCTCAGCCAAGTTCCCCTTCTCTCAGGGAAACAGGCACTGCTAGCTTCCTGATATAAATAAGCAGGAGCTGGCTTGGAAGACAAGAATCAGTGACTGCAGAAGGACAGTCCAAAGGTTTGGTGACTGGAACAAGGGCAATTTGATGACCTGCAGATGTATTATGAACTGATTCCCCTGCACACCATGGCGTTTTGAGTTGATATGCAAGTTCTGTCTACTTAAGCTCTGATGGATTCTGCACTCTTGGGGGAGATGAATGTGTAGATGTGAACCAGCCGTAAACTGCTTTCTTGCAAGATCTGATGTGAACTACTTGCTAAATGCTCTGTCTGTATCTATATAAGGTAAAGGTAAAGGTTCCCTTGCTCGAAAGCCAGTCGAGTCCGACTCTAGGGTTGCCGTCCTCATCTCCATTTCAAAGCTGAAGAGCCAGCACTGTCCGAAGACGTTTCCGTGGTCATGTGGCCGGCATGACTAAACACCAAAGCGCACGGAACGCTGTTACCTTCCCACCGAAGTGGTCCCTATTTATCTACTTGCAATTTCTTGCTTTCGAACTGCTAGGTTGGCAGGAGCTGGAACTAGAGACGGGAGCTCACTCCATCATGCGGCAACTCGGGTCTCAAACTGCTGAACTACTGACCTTCCACAGCCTGCAGTTCAGCATCTTAACCACTTGAGCCACCGCAGCTCCTCCTGTATCTATATATGCGCAGGTTAATCTTTTATATAAATAGCATTCTGGAGAGATGATCAGATCATCTTGTCAGGCAAGGCAGGGTATAAATACAAATAATAAATAAATAAATATTATAGCATTCAAAAACAGAGGGAGGGAACTCTTTTGAATACTCAATTATCTGGATATCCAGCCTCTGAAACTAGATGAGATTTCTACCAAGACTCACTGCAATTGCTTACCACAGAAAGCAGGCTAATTATTGCGGTCAGGAGCAATTAAACTGAGATTAGATATCTTCCTTAAGGAAGATGCAATGTCCTTTCCGGGTTGTTACAAAAGCCAAACTCAATAAACACAGTCGCCTTTTCAGAGTCTAAGACACTCCAGCCAGAAATGCAATTTTCTTGCGCCACCTGGTTAACTGCCTCTGAACATGGAAGTTCCCTTTAGTTACCATGGCTAGTAGCCACTGATAGACTTAGCCTCCATGCATCTGTCTATAAGAACATGAAAACAGCTCTTCATCCATCTCGTATAAATGAAACCTCTCTTCCTGTCTAAGTTGACTGTTCCCCTTGGAAGGTGCTGGACAGCAGACTGAACAGTTGCTGGACAGCATGCTGAACATGACCTCCCTCTCCACCTCCTGGTCCACTTAACCCCTGATCTTTGTTAGGAGATGAGGGCTCCAGGCTAAGTCTATTTCCCCTCTGCAGATGAATGCCTCCACACCAAGTTATGTCAGCCTATCACATCTTTGAAGATTGTCCCAATGATGTTAAGAACTCCTTTGGGTCTGGAATTTACCACCCGTGAAGCCCTTTTCATTTCATTTCATTTCATTTATTAGATTTATATCCCGCCCTCCCCCGTAGGGCTCAGGGCGGCTTACATAGTAAAAGATCTTACCATAGTAAAACATCAATTTAAATTACATTTAAAACAAGTTATACAGTTTAAAAACAATAAATACAATACATTAAAGTGCTCAACAATCTCAAAGCCTCGGGAGATGTCGACCGCATCCACTTCCAACACCCTGGTAGGCATTCCGTGTCCTTAATATTGGGTGTCAATTCCGGTGTTTCTTCATTCCATCCTAGGGCCCTTCCCCCCCCCAATGATGGTAATAGCAGGGGGGGTGGCGGCGGCCCCTAATCGAAAGCCTGGTGGAAGAGCTCCGTCTTGCAGGCCCTGCGGAACTGTACCAGATCCCGCAGGGCCCTGATCTCCTCAGGGAGCTCGTTCCACCAGGTGGGGGCCGCCACCAAAAAAGCCCTAGCCCTCGTGACGGCCTATTTAGCATCTTTGGGGCCCGGCACAGTCAATACGTTTCGGGGCCCAGACCGTAGTGCTCTTGGGGGAACATTTTCAGACATCAGAATCACACACAATGGACACCCACCACCCCCATGCATAAGAGAAGCAGACACCTCTCAACTGGGATCCTCCCAAAACACACAGTCACCATGTTGTGTGAAGGGGGCCAACACGCATATTTCCCATGTGTGTACAGCCTGCTTGTGTGAATGCAAACCCTGAAGAGGAGAGAGATCTTCGAGTCAGAGACCAGGGTCATGGTAGAAAATACTGAAGATGTTGACTCCGTATGCAACCGCAATTACAAAAGGCAAACGCTGTGCAGGGGATTATTAGGAAAGGGACTGAAAACAGTTCAGCCTGCATCATAGCGGTGTGGCCTCATTTGGAATACTGTGTACAGTTCTGGTCACTGCACCTCAAAAAAGATATTATAGCACTGGAAAAAGTGCAGAAAAGGGCAGCTAAAATGATTAAGAGGATGGAACACCTTCCCTATGAAGAAAGGTTAAAGAGGTTAGGACTCTTTAGCTTGGAGAAACGACGACTGAGGGGTGACATGATTGAGGTTTAGAAAATTACGCACGGGATAGAGAAGATAAAGAAGTACTTTTCTCCCTTTCTCACAATACAAGAACTCATAGGCACTCAATGAAATTAGTGAGCAGTCGGGTTAGAACAGATAAAAGGAAGTACTTCTTCACCCAAAGAGTGATTAACATGTGGAATTCACTGCTACAGGAAGTGGTGGCAGCTACAAGCATAGACAGAGGGTAGATTCAGGTGGGGTAGCCGTGTTGGTCTGAAGCAGCAGAACAAAGTCTGAGTCCAGTGGGGCACCTTTAAGACCAACAAAGTTTTATTCACGGTATAAGCGTTTGTGTGTACGCACGCTTCTTCAGATACAATGAAATGGGAATTACCAGCCCATACATATAGGTAGAGGCTGAGAACAGTAAATTAACATACAGCGTAATGAAGATGTTTAACAGATTCAAGGACCAAACAGGAATGACATGCTTATTTTATACGGCTACCATTTGTTTGGGTTTAACTCTGGGTGGAAACATAGTGAAGGAAATAAGTCTGTCAAAATTGGAGACTGATGGGCAGGTGTATCCTTAATTGTGTAATGCTGAGAGTAATTAACTGAGACCTTGCCATTACGCTCCATCCTTCTCTTCTCGAGCATGGAGACAACCTTACAGCATCTGCTTCTTTGAAGTGAGGCGATTGGCTGTGTAGACTTATCTCCTCTAGCCCCAGACCATAGAAATACATTCCAATCTCCCCTTCCAAATTACATGACATCCTACTATTCTAATATATTATTACAAATAAGAACTAAAATAAAACAAAGAGGACGTATGGCCCTTCTGGGGGATTGGTGATGTAAGAGCCCTACAGGAATCTCAATGGTTTTTTCCCCCCCCCCCCCACCCAGCCGCCCCCCCTGCCAAAAGAAAAAACAAAAACCCTTTCAGAACATTGGTGTCAGAATCGGTTCTGGCTGGGAAGCATCTCTGCATCGTCCCCGCCGAGAAGGGCGCTTTGTTCGCCCGAGGTCAGCGTGCCTCTTTGTTACAGCGAAACGACACAGAACAAAAAAGACTGGGATGCCGGATTCTCGCGCGGCGGGAGGCAAGCCCAGCCAGCGTGGCAGCCCGGTCTGCAGGGGCGCCTTCCCGGTCAGATCCTACCCCCAACCGGCGCCCCCGCGCCCATCGCAGCCCTGACCTCCGCGTCTCTCTCCTCTCCCACCCGCACCCCCCTTTACCCTCGTGGACGGCGCCCCTCGCCTCCTCCCTGAATCCCCCAAAGCCTCCGGTCCCCGGCCATCCCGCCGCAGCGAACAGGGCCGATCCAAACCAAGCCAGCCCCGGGCGCATCCTTACCAGCTGTCCCTCGGGAAAGAGCGGATGAAGCGGATCCCGGGAGCGGGGATGGATCGCATGGTGCCAGGCCGGCCTTGGGCAGGAGCAGCGCCGAGCAGAGGCTAAGCAGGAGGCGGCGGAGGCTGGTCGCCGAGAAGGAAAGCGGGCGGGCAGGGGGACCGGGGAGGCGGGGGCGATCAGGCCGCCGGGCTCCGCTTTGTTCCCGGGATGGCGGTGGGGAGCTGGAGCTGCTCCGGACTCGGCCCCGGCCGGCATTTAAATGCGCCCCTGGAGCCCGGCTGTTGGGCACATGCCGGTGATTCGAGCCGGCTCCCCGCCC